ATAGTGCCCCATCATTGGTATCAGTGGGAGGAATAGTGCCCCGTCATTGGTATCAGTGGGAGGAATAGTGCACCATCATTGGTATCAGTGGGAGGAATGGTGCCCCATCATTGGTATCAGTGGGAGGAATAGTGCCCCATCATTGGGGTGTCAGTGGGAGGAATAGTGCCCCATCATTGGTGTCAGTGGGAGGAATAGTGCCCCATCATTGGTATCAGTGGGAGGAATAGTGCCCCATCATTGGTATCAGTGGGAGGAATAGTCCCCTATCATTGGTGTCAGTGGGAGGAATAGTGCCCCATCATTGGAGTCAGTGGAAGGAAGAGTACTCCATCATTGGTTTTAGTGGGAGGAATAGTGCCCCAAGGGCCAGACACAGGAAAGCAAAGGGCCACATTTGTCTCCTAGGCCGCAGTTTGGAGACCACTGCTGTAAAGATTGCTATAGGTTCCTTGAGCTGTGGCTCACTGAGCTCCCATTTGATGGTGCCTGTATATTGCTGGAACCAACACCACGGTGGAGGAGATCTACTAAAACTGGAGCACACAGAACATGGCGCAGCTCTGCCTAGAAACCAATCAGCTTCCAGGTTTTATTGCCAAAGCTTAATTGAACAAACTGATGTTAGAAGCTGATTGGTTACGAAGCTTGGGTGCTCCAGATTCTGAGTGCTTCAGCTTTAGTAACACCCCCCCCCTCACCCCCATTGTATTGTTACTACCAGGGGCGGACTGACCATTTGGAAACTCGGCACTGCCCGAGGGCCCGGGGTCAGTAGGGGGCCCCATGAGATGCCCCTGGTACCTTTTTCATAGTCTTTTTTGAGTTTGGGCAAGGACACAGGGGCCCCATGATCCCCTATTGCCCGGGGGCCCCATGATTTGTCAGTCCGCCCCTGGTTACTACTGACATACATGTGAACCTTCCCTGATACTAAAACCTGCTAGAAGGCTATTTCTTTCTTTTTGCTCCATACAGAAGTCGTTGTTTTTCTCCATCCCCGGCCCTAATAGTCACTCTTTAGTCTGGGGAGTGTGCACATTAAATACCCAGTAAAGGCTTTAATTAGGATCTCAGTACAGAATAAAATTCTGTCATTTGTAAAAAAAAAAAAAAAAAAAAATGTTTTTTTTCCTGGCGGATCAGCAAAGCCAGATCAGAAAAACACAAGTGCTGCATTCACCCCAGGCTTCATTATATCAATAATCGCCATCAGCGGAGGTCAGAGCGCACTGTATTGTGATAGAAACATGCCTGCTTGGCCAGACAGCACTGGAGAAATGTTGTTAAAGTGGACCTGACACCCAAAACCAAAAATGTCATATATTGCAGCTTAGCAATCATTAGATGTGGTGGCTGCATTAGTTTTCTTCTTTAGGCTTTTTTCCCTTCTGTTTTCACCTGGTGATCTGGCCAGTAACATACCTCCTGTATTAGGCTAGGTTCACATCTGGTGGTGCCGCTGTGGATCCGCACGAAAAATCCGTGCAGCCGCACCACCCGTAGAGAGGAATGCGGACCCGTGGGTGGGTGCCATTAGTTCTAATTGCATGCCGCCTGCACTGGAAAAACGCAACCGTACTGGCAACCGAGGTTCTTGTGTGGGCTGCGTTTTCAGGAGAAGTGCAGGGACTTCTCTGCGTGTCACGGAAGTCCATTCAAATGAAAGGACTCTTGTTCCCGCGCAAAACACGGCTCGCACGGCCGCATATATGTGTACCAGGGCTTAGTGTGCCTCCACTCTGGATGAAAGAGCACAGGCAACACCAGCATTGTCAGGAAGGAAGGGGAGTATTAGATGTACTAGCAGATTTTAGTTGTCTCTTCTCTACATCTATTCAAAGTCCAGAATTTATAAAGCTTGTCTGAGAGTTCATAAAAAAGGGGGCAGAGAGCTGAAATGACACACTGCAGAGCTGAGTGCAGTGAGAGCTGATTGGAGGGAAGGGGCACAGATCTTAGCCTCTTAATCACAGGCTGTGTGCTGGAGCTCCCTCTGTCACCTTTTTATCTCTTGGTGTCAGGAAAACTTATCTGAAGTGACTCATGCAGATAGCAAAAGAACGAGGCAGCAGACAGAAATGACACTTAGTGCTCAGGATTGAGACAAGCACACACTATAGAGGGATATATAGATAGAGGAAGGATCCACCTTGCAAGACACCTTCACCATTACAGAACAAGTCAGTTATTGGGGAAGTACCATGACCTGGATGAATGACACCCTTCGCAGACACATTCTGAAGCTTCTATTCCTGCAAATGACTTTAAAAAGACAAATCTGTGAGGAACAGATGGCAATGGACACTAGAAGAATTCAAAAAAGGGATTTGAGAAGTAAAAGGCGAACCACCGTCTGAGGCCTTTGGATTTGAATTGACCAAAGCAATTAAAGTGATATTAAAACTTTGCATTTTATCTTTTCTTTAAATAACAAACGTGTTATAGTTACCTGCTCTGTGTAATGGTTTTGCACAGAGCAGCCCCAATCCTTTTCTTCTCAGGTCCCCTGCTGGCACTCCTGGCTCCTCCTCTCTGCCGATTGCTCCCATAACAAGCCGCTTGCTAGAGGGGCACTTGTGCAGGGTCACTCCCGAGCCGGCCTTGTGTGTCCATTCACACAGCGCGCCTCAGCCCCGCCCCCGCTAATTGGCTATGATTGACAGCAGCAGGAGCCATTGTCTCCTACTGCTGCTCCTCTGTCCAATGAGGAGCCAGAGAGAGCAAACAATGTTGCATTGCTGGATGGAGATCAGGCTCAGGCAGGGGCGGACTGACCATTTGGAAACTCGGGCAGTGCCCGAGGGCCTGGGTTCAGTAGGGGGCCCCATGAGATGCCCCTGGTACCTTTTTCATAGGTTTTTTGAGTTTGGGCAAGAACACAGGGGCCCCATGATCCCCTATTGCCCGGGGGCCCATGAGTTGTAAGTCCGCCCCTGGGCTCAGGTAAGTGTGAGAGAGGCTGGGGGGAAGCTGCATGCAGAAGGTTTTTACACACCCTAATGCAGAGAAAGCATTAGGTAAAAAACCTTCAGGCTTTAAAACCACTAAAGTCTCTCTGCAATCCTTAACCGCAGGTATGTAGCAGATTACAGACCTTTAACTAGCAAAAAAAAAACAAATGGCCATCATCCTGAACTCTTTACAATTGTGCATAACCATTTGGTGGATACAGTATGTGCCCTATGTCTATGCCAATCCATAACTGGGTGTTATCCTTGAAAAAAAAAATCTCAGCTGACAAGTATACAGTGCCTTGAAAAAGTATTCATACCCCTTGCATTTTTCTACATTCTGTCATGTGACAACCAAAAACGTCAATGTATTTTATTGGGATTTGATGTGATAGACCAACACAAAGTGGCACATAATTGTGAAGTGGAAGGAAAATGAGAAATGGTTTTCAAACTTTTTTCCAAATAAATATGTGAAAAGTGTGGCGTGCGTTTGTATTCAGCCCCCTTTACTCTGATACCCCTAACTAAATCTAGTGGAACCAATTGCCTTCAGAAGTCACCTAATTAGTAAATAGAGTCCCCCTGTGTGTAGTTTAATCTCAGTATAAATCCAGCTGTTCTGTGAAGCCCTCAGAGGTTTGTTAGAGAACATTAGTGAACAAACAGCATCATGAAGGCCAAGGAACACACCAGACAGGTCAGGGATAAAGTTGTGGAGAAGTTTAATGCAGGGTTAGGTTATAAAAAAAATATCCCAAGCTTTGAACATCTCAAGGAGCACTGTTCAATCCATCATCTGAAAATGGAAAGAGTACGGCACAACTGCCAACCTACCAAGACATGGCCATTAACCTAAACTGACAGGTTAGGCAAGGAGAGCATTCATCAGAGAAGCAGCTAAGAGGTCCATGGGAAGATCCACAGCTCAGGTGGGAGAATCTGTCCTCAGGACAACTATTAGTCATGCACTCCACAAATCTGGCCTTTATGAAAGAGTGGCAAGAAGAAGCCATTGTTGGAAGAAATCCATAAGATGTCCCAATTGCAGTTTGTGAGAAGCCATGTGGGGGACAAAGCAAACATGTGGAAGAAGGGGCTCTGGTCAGATGAGACCAAAATTGAACTTTTTGGCCTAAAACCAAAACATTATGTGTGGCGGAAAACTAACACTGCACATCACCCTGAACACACCCCATCCCCACCGTGAAACATGGTGGTGTCAGCATCATGTGGTGGGGATGCTTTTCTTCAGCAGGAACAGGGAAGCTGGTCAGAGTTGATGGGAAGATGGATGGAGCCAAATACAGCACAGTCTTAGAAGAAAACCTGTGAGAGTCTGCAAAAGACTTGAGACCGGGCGGAGGTTCACCTTCCAGCAGGACAACGACCTAAAACATCCAGCCAGAGCTACAATGGAAGGGTTCAGATCAAAGCGTATTCATGTGTTACAATGGCCCAGTCACAGTCCAGACCCAAATCCAATGGAGAATCTGTGCCCAGACCAGAAAATTGCTGTTCCCAGACGCTCTCCATCCAATCTGACAGAGCTTGAGTGATTCTGCAAAGAAGAATGGGCAGAAATGTCCCTCTCTAGATGTGCAAAGAGACATCCCCAAAAAGTCTTGCAGCTGGAATTGCAGCCAAAGGGCGTCCTACAAAGTATTGACTCTGGGGGGCTGAATACAAATGCTGCCACACTTTTCACACATTTATTGGTCCAAATGTTGAAAACCATTTCTAATTTTCCTTCCACTTCACAATTATGGGCCACTTTGTGTTGGTCTATCATATCTAATCCCAATAAAATACACTGTAACATGACAACATGGGGGACATTTCAAGGGGTATGAATACTTTTTCCAGGCGCTGTAACATATAGAACCGCACAAACATATGTATGGAATAAGTCAAACGTAATAAACTGGCTACTGACCCTCACTGTCCATCTCAGCTGAGCCCATGACCATAACGGGAATACCAATGAAGGAGGCCAGGATCCAGATACAGACATTGACCACTTTGGCTTTGTGCGGGGTGCGGATGTCAAGCGCCTTCACCGGGTGGGCAGATGGCGATGTACCGGTCGACGCTCATCATGGTCAGGGTGAATGTGCTAGTGAACATGTTGTAGTAATCAATGGCAATGGCGATTTTACACAAGGCATTTCCGAAGGGCCAGATTCCCATGATGATGTCAGTACCCTGGAATGGGAGGGTCATCAGGACCAGTGCGTCAGCCAGAGCCAGGTTGAAGATATAGATGTTGGTGGCAGTTTTCATCTTGGTGTATCTGGGGAAAACAAAAGGCATCAATAAGTGTAAAACAATACATAACTAAATAAAAGTCAGCCAGCCCGCCCATTGCTCTCTAGATTCTGCAAAAAATAAAATTTATCATCCCTACAAACACAGGGGACATCACTAAGAATGCAGCCCATCCATTCACTAGAGAGCGGTGACATCACAGAGAATGCGGCCTATCCATTCACTAGAGAGCGTTGACATCACAGAGAATGCAGCCTATCCATTCACTAGAGACCGGTGACATCACTGAGAATGCGGCCTATCCATTCACTAGAGACCGGTGACATCACTGAGAATGCAGCCTATCCATTCACTAAAGACCGGTGACATCACTGAGAATGCAGCCTATCCATTCACTAGAGACCGGTGACATCACTGAGAATGCAGCCATCCATTCACTAGAGACCGGTGACATCACTGAGAATGCAGCCTATCCATTCACTAGAGACCGGTGACATCACTGAGAATGCAGCCTATCCATTCACTAGAGACTGGTGACATCACTGAGAATGAAGCCTATCCATTCACTAGAGAGAGCGGTGACATCACTGACAATGCGGCCTATCCATTCGCTAGAGACCGGTGACATCACTGAGAATGCAGCCTATCCATTCACTAGAGACCGGTGACATCACTGAGAATGCAGCCTATCCATTCACTAGAGACCGGTGACATCACTGAGAATGCAGCCTATCCATTCACTAGAGACCAATGACATTACTGAGAATGCAGCCTATCCATTTACTAGAGACCAGTGACATCACTGAGAATGCAGCCTATCCATTCACTAGAGACCGGTGACATCACTGAGAATGCAGCCTATCCATTCACTAGAGACCGGTGACATCACTGAGAATGCAGCCTATCCATTCACTAGAGACCGGTGACATCACTGAGAATGCAGCCTATCCATTCACTAGAGACCGGTGACATCACTGAGAATGCAGCCTATTCATTCACTAAAGACTGGTGACATCACTGAGAATGCAGCCTATCCATTCACTAGAGACCAATGACATTACTGAGAATGCAGCCTATCCATTCACTAGAGACCTGTGATGGAAAAGGAAACTATAATAATTTTTTTTTGTGTCAATATTATTTTCCCTTTTTTTAACTTTTTTTAAATTTGATGCTTTTGTGCAATTTTAGTATATGCATACATTCTTTGTTTTACAAGCAAACCTTCATTGTGTGACAAAGGATTCCCAGAGCACTACGGAGTAGTTAAAAAAAAGACTGCACAGCAGTAGCTATCTGCCTTCAGGTAGGTCCCATTGGACAGAAACATAGGAATGATCTGTTTGACAAGGAATACATCAATCCTTTCACTTATTGTTGATTCAGTCAGCTTGAGCTACTAATCTCTGTATAAAAGCCGGTTACCGTAAGTGAAAAAGAGACCAAAGCTCCATTTTCTGGCTGTATAAAAGACCGCATGATACTTATTTGCAATGTCGTTCTTGTCCATTATTTAGTTGATGGAAAAAAAAGAAAAAAAGTATTTTTTTCCAATTTTCTAGAAGCCAGTGATGGAAAAGGAAACTATAATAATTTGTTTTTGTGTCAATATTATTTTCCCTTTTTAACTTTTTTTTAAACTTTTGTGTAATTTTAGTATATGCATACATTCTATGTTTTACAAGCAAACCTTCATTGTGTGACAAAGGATTCCCAGAGCACTACAGAATAGCAAAAAAAAAAAAAGACTGCACTGCAATATTTTGTCGTTCTTGTCCATTATTTACTTGATGGAAAAAAAGAGAAAAAATATATTTTTTTTAATTTTCTAGAGGCCAGTGATGGAAAAGGAAACTATAATAATTTGTTTTTGTGTCAATATTATTTTCCCTTTTTTAAAAAATTCGATGCTTTTGTGTAATTTTAGTATATGCATACATTCTTTGTTTTACAAGCAAACCTTCATTATGTGACAAAGGATTCCCAGAGCACTACGGAGTAGCTAAAAAAAAAAGACCGCATTGCAATTTTTTTTGTTCTTGTACATTATTTACTTGATGAAAAAAAGAGAAAAAAAACATTTTTTTAAATTTTCTTTAGCCTTGAATATAAAACACCACTACAGATTCCCTTTAGATAGGCATTTGTGCAGCCTGTGCGTTCATGGCAGACTAGCGCCTGTAATTGTTCTCCTCCGTGGTCATAAAACAGCACAGAACAGAGTTCCTGGTAGGCTGAGCGTACCACATTATGCAGTGCCGGGAGTACAGAGAAGCAAAAACAACTCCATCAAGGTCAAAACCAGCCACCTATAAAGCCTTTCAATGCCAACCTAAACCGCAAGGCCACTTATTTACTCCTCTCTTTAACAGGATCTATTAAATTCATAATGGACCGGCACAGGATGTCTCCTACGAAGATCGCTTTCCCGAAAAGGTGAGACGAGGTAATACAATAGGGAGTGAAAGACGCGCAGGACTAGTTATCAGAATATTTAACGTATGAGCCAAAACATTACCCGAGCTGCCAGATCCTTCGCTTTCGCTGCGGGATTAGGCTGATCTGCCTTGGCAGCGGAGTCTGCCTCCTCTAGATAGTACGCGGCCAGGATTCTGCGGCGAAGCTTTGCATTTGATGAGCTTAGCGTAACGCAGCGTTGCGTCTAGAAAGCGAAGGCTGGCAGCTCTGCGGGCAGATGATGTGTGCCCATCATTGGAATCGTTTTCCTTTTTGGGATGGAAAGATAAAAAACCTTAGATATCTGAAATAATTACTGTACTGAGCAAACGACTACATTCAGACTGTCATTCTCCAAAAAAATGCCATAGCTATTCGTCCAGCGAAACTGCTGTTACATTCTCTACAGGTCGAATGTTATTCATTCATTAAAAAAAACTTTGTGAAAATACTGCATTATGGCCAGTAGGTGGAGCTGAGGATCATAGCAAATAAGTATGGTCCTCGGCTCCATCTAGTGGCCATAATGCAGTACGTTCCCAAACCACTCTACTTTTTATGAACGAATGATATTCAACCTGTAGAGGAAATAGAAGGTGAACCCACAGAACGAATGTACCAGCAGTTTCAATAGAATAGCTGTGCAATTTTTTTTTTTTACTATAACTACACCCTCTAATGTTCTTTTTCCAGGTTTGCTTTTCAGAGGAGGATATGAAGCAACATGGACACCTCCTATCTGAAACACGTATGACGCCCAAACGGGTTAAAGGTTAATCTGCTAAATATGCAGCTGAAACATGCAACATATATCAATTCCATCATGTAACAACCCTTCTGATCTACTAGGCCAGGCTGAGCCACATCGGGGGATCATGTCTTTTCAGAGCTGATACCACAGCCCCGCCTCCTGCTGCTTTTGGACCTTCTGAGAAGATCACCATGGTCCACCCTGATCTCTCGTGTTCCTTTATTCTAGGTTCACATCTGTGAGGGTGGTGCCGCTGCGGGACCCGCGCACAAATACGTGCAGCTGCACCACCCACACAGAGGAATGCGGGACCATTAATTCTAATGGCACGCTGCCCACACTGGAAAACGCAACTGTACTGGGATTCTCGGTTTCCGTGCGGGCTGTGATTTCTGAAGAAGTGCAGGGACTTCTTCCCTGCGTGTCCCGAGGCACGGGAGTCCATTCAAATGAATGGGCTCTCGTGCCCGCACGAAACGCGGCCCGCACGGCTGCACATATGTGAACCTGGCCTAAAGCAGGTCATACATGGGTCAAATTTTGAACGATTTTTTCGATCTAAAGTAGAAGACGACGTTCATTCTGTAATCTGATGGTGTCACCAATGAATTCGAAAATCTGACGTTTTTCACAAATTTTCCAACATGCCCAATAAACAAAATGGAGAGAAACCACAAAAATTGGCCGGTGCCATTGCCCCACTAACAGACTGAATTATTCTTAGGTCCGATTTTCAAACGAAAAATCGGGCGGAAATCAACCCATGTATGGCAGGCCTAAGACCCTACTTACTACCTCCCAATGACACCTCTGCACTTATACACTATATTGCCAAAAGTATTGGCCCCGCCCTCCAAATCATGTGATTCAGGTGTTCCAATCCCCTCCATGGCCACAGCTGTATACAATCAAGCCCCTAGGCATGCAGACTGCTTTTACAAACATTGGTGAAAGAATGGGTCGCTCTCAGGAGCTCAGTGACTCCAAGCGTGGTCCTGTGATAGGTGGTCACCTGTGCAATAAGTCCATCCGTGACATTTCCTGGCTACTAAATATTCCACGCTCAACTGTTAGTGGGATTATAACAAAGTAGAAGCAACTGGGAACAACAGCAACCCAGCCACCAAGTGGTAGGCCATGTCACATGACAGAGCGGGGTCAGCGCATGCTGAAGCGCACAGTGCGCAGAAGTCGCCAACTGTCTGCAGAGTCAATAGCTAAAGATCTCCAAACTTGGTGTGGCCTTCAGATGAGCACAACAACAGTGCGTAGAGAGCTTCATGGAATGGGTTTCCATGGCCGAGCAGCTGCATCCAAGCCTTACATCACCAAGTGCAATGCAAAGCGTCAGATGCCGTGGTGTAAAGCATGCCGCCACTGGACTCTAGAGCAGAGGAGACATGTTCTCTGGAGGGACCAATCACGCTTCTCTGTCTGGCAATCCGATGGATGTGTCTGGGTTTGGCGGTTGCCAGGAGAACGGTACTTGCCTGACTGCATTGTGCCAAGTGTAAAGTTTGGTGGAGGGGGGATTATGGTGTGGGGTTGTTTTTCAGGGGTTGGGCTTGGCCCCCTAGTTCCAGTGAAGGGAACTCTTAGGGTAACATTTTGGACAATTCATGCTCCCAACTTTGTGGGAAGAGTTTGGGGATGGCCCCTTCCTGTTCCAACATGACTGCCCACCAGTGCACAAAGCAAGGTCCATAAAGACATGGAGGAGCCAGTTTGGGGTGGAGGAACTTGACTGTCCTGCACAGAGTCCTGACCTCAACCCCATAGAACACCTTTGGGATGAATTAGAGCGGAG